TAAAAGCAAAGTTCTGGAGTACAAAAACATTGCATGGAAATACATGGAAATAGTGCTGGTTACCATAAATTACATGGTGGAAATTTATTTATAAGAGAAGCTTCTTTCTGATGGGAGGTTAGTGTTGCTGAATGGAGCCACCCTTCAGGACAGGGGTGTCCCTGCAGGACAGCAGGGACATTAGTGCTCCACAGTGCTGCTTTATGCACCTTCCTTGTACACTGCATGGAAAAGGTGTGGAGTTTGGGAAGGATTGTGGCTCCATCCTGCAAGCAGCCGTGTGAAGGCTCAGCCACATTCACTGAGTCCCAAGAAGGCAGGCAGACTCCTTCTGGAAGTCAAATTAATTACCTGTGTGGGAATTTATGGGCTCAGGTACTTCCGTACCGATTGCAATTACTAATGTGTTTATCTCCATTTTCATTCTTGATGTATGTGCTTGATATTTATGCTAGGCAGGCAAATTATACATATACAAAAAGCAATTCAGCTTAGGCAGGAAAAGTTCTCTTTAGATCCAAGTGGAACCTGAGCTGCCCGGAATGAAAACTCTCCTAGGCTCATGACTGACTGCCATAGGACAGACTGACTTCTTTAAGAGACAGCATTGGAAATTTCCAGCCTGCAAATCATGGCTGGTCACACTGCAAATTCATATTTTGTTTCATAGATCAGTTCTTTTCACCTTGTGGCCCCTGACCTACACAGAGCACATCCATATGAAGCTCTACTTTACATTAGTTTTGTACAGAAAAGAACACATATATGTATGTGTGTATATATATGTGTGTGTGTGTGTGTATATATATATATATATATATATAAATGCACAGATTATTGTTTTTTTAAAGCCTGTCAGACCACTACATTATAACAGAGAGGCTATTACAGACAAGTTCAGTTAGCCGTGCATCATTTCACACCTTCATTACGATCTTTACCAGGGAAATGGATTGCTTTGGAGCCTCTCTCCATCCTCATTAAACTTCCACTCTTGTGAGGTGTCAGAACTGTAAAACGCCTAATGTGGACGGTTAATTATAGCAACGCTCCCTGCATTTCCCTGGTCGTGGCAGCCGGCTTCCCACCTGGTGCTGGTTGCACCCGAACGAATGAGGGGGACTGTGTGGTGGCCAGCAAGCAGGGGACAACATGCTCCACCGGTCCACATGTGACACCTGGCAAACACCCACCAACCTTGTGTCAGCAGGACATAGCATTTCTTTGGATGCAATGGGAGGTTTGGGCTCAGGCAAGGCTGTGAAGGGAGGCACACATCTCCTTTGCTAATACAGTAACTGCAAGTTGGATGCTAGAGACCATGTTACAGGTGTAGTCCTCGGAGCTGCTCAGGGTAATAGCAGCACTTATCAGAACAAGAGGTGGCAGAAATTAGCCTGAAATGGCATAAATGATTTCAGGATACCAGCTGTCTGGCAGCAAACAGTTAATTCTCTCCCAGAACACTGTCACGTTTTGCAGACGCAGAGAAATCTGCAAAACCACCAGCTGAAGGGGATTCCAGAGATGGGACCCCAGGAGTCTCACTAGAGCAGTCCTGCTTTCCTCTTCCACCATCTTCCCAGAGATGAGCAGAACTTCCCAGCCTTGCTCTGGCTCTAAACATCAGTCTCTTCGGCTCATTTTTGAGAAAAAGAGAACCAAGAGTTAATAAAACACAGACCCACAAAGAGCTGGAGGCATCAAGGAGGTTCCAGCACCTCTGGAATATCTCTGACACCCCAATCCAACCCCATGCCATTCAGTACCTGGTGACTGGATATCTTGAAGCTGACAAAGTTTTCTGCAGTTCCTTACCAGCACAAACCCTTTGCTTTACGGGAAGGCTGACATTTCATTCATCATTGATTTAAGGTTGGATGAAACAGCTCTGACCGCCTGGTGTGACCTCCAGGAAAGCACGAGCCAGGGCTGTGCTCGCTGTCCCCTCCAAGCTCACAACAACCTGCCCAAAGCAATGAGATGAATTCAGGTTTCATCCTGAAATCCTCTGCGCTTGCAAAGGAGGTTTTCCTAAGGATAAATTATGCTCATATTTTTCAGTCATTGCATATGCCCACGGAAAGGACTCCATGCTTCTCAGATCTACATTTCTCCTGTTCAAAAAACAAAGCTAGCTAAGGATTGCCCAAGTAACATCTTGCAGTAGAAACAAACATTTCATTCTTACCAAGAATAATGTACTATATATACATATACACATATATATATGAAGAATTACACACACACGCACAGATATATATATATATATATATATATATATATATATATATATATATGAAGAAAGCATCCTAAAGGAACACCATGTTCTCACAGAGAAACCCTAAACCTAACTGAAAAAGGCATCTCCCTGACAAGGGATCAGAAGATCAAAGTTGTGTTTTATTAGTTGTATAAAAAGTATCTTTAGCTCTCAGTTGAAAGGAAAAATTTGCATTTAAATAGAAAGATTAATAACTGTAATACACAGAGCCCACACTGAATAATTTCTGTAACAGAAAATAATTCATATTGTTTTATATAAATTGTGCACCTTAAGTCAAGCTACAAAAAATGATAATCGTAATATTTTATGGAACAATTTTAATATAATACAGCTTGTAACATTATTATTCTAAGCTGTAAATAATGCATGTCTGGAGCTTTGGGGAAAGCTGGATTTAAAATACTTATCTCTGAAAATGCAATAGGGTATGTGCTTTTTGGTCCAAGTGTCTACACTATGCATGAGTTCAGACTTTTCCTTTAAAAAGTAATCAGGAGATGTGGGAAGGCTCCCTGCCTTGTAATGCAAGGCCAGACCAGGCAGTGAGGTCTACAGAGAACTTACTGCATTCTCCGGAAAAAAAAATCCCCCAAAGATGCAACTTTAGATGAACCCAAGCATTCTGAAACACTATTGGACAACCAGGATGCCTTGGCCAGATCCAAAAGCTGGATTTTTAAACCAAAAAAAAAAAAAAAAAAAAAAAATTAAAGATATCCATTTTGATATTCCTTTTAATAGCTGGGGGAAAGCAGGTTTTGATTTTATTTTGAAGTGTCATCCCACATTACAACTATATTTAAAAAAAATCCATTCTGCAGGAAAACAGCCCACCTTTTGCATTTCATTCTGGCTAAGTCTTAAAATAAAAAAAAATCAGAAACAACTTCCAAAAAAATATCCCTTATGTTCCACTTGAAACATTTTGCCTATTTTTTTCCTTAGAAAGAAGTCACTCAGACTAAGATCCTATCGGCTTAATCAAACCCGAGATGACTTTATCCATATCTCTTTGTCATGACTCAGAAAGCATGGGATGAGACACTGGATACCATGACTTCCAAAAGATGCATCTGCAAATGGGATGGCTGCTCTACCCCTCCTCACCATCTGACACCCTTCTGCATGTATAAAAAAAATAATCCTTCCTCCAGGAATGGTTGCATCTTCAGGAAGCTTTGGATGAATTCATCTTCAAGTCACTTCTTCCCATATTGACAGGGCAAAGATTGATCAAATCTTTTTCTATTTAAAGCAGTCACAAAGGCTAATAACGTATTTTGTCAGGACTAATTTTCTTGCAGACGATGTCAATTAGCATTACAATACTTTGTCATATATTCTTTAGCTACTCAATGTTACCTCTTGAGCTCCTGAATGCAAATATTTCCTGTTAAGGAGAAGGATAAAGCCCATGATTCATCTCAGTTGCATATTCACATATTGGATGTCCAAAGTTCAAAGGAACTCTCTTACATGAAGCAGTTTTCCACTTCCTGGGTATCCAAAATAACAGCTAAGAAAATCCTTGTCTATTATAATGGAAGATAGTTTTGCTGCTTCATTTTTTCCAACCATATGTTTTGTACAAGCAGAGCACAGGCTTTCATGCTATCATTCTGCTGTCTGGAAATCTCATTCCACAATCTTTGTTTTTTCATTGCCATTTTCAGATGTTTAATGAAGCGACACATGGATATGAGGTGCCCCTGTTATTTCTTTTGCCCAGTCTCTATCGTTTTCAATCTCAGAACTATTGAATAAATGGAAATAGTGTTACTGGACCTGTTTTGCAGTTCCTGAGGAAAACACCTACTGGAGTCAATGAGAAATTTGCCCAACGTATGCACTGCAGGATTAAGTCTCTTTTTTCCCTTCTTTTTCTTCTCTGTATGGAGAAAGAGAAAAGGAGCATATTCATTGTTCATAGGTAGGCCTTGCCTGATTTTAACCAAATATTGCCATTAAGAAAGGGCATTTTCTAAATGAAGGATCATATCTTCATAATCTGCAACGGCCACTTTTCTACCTACGTGTTCTCTCCTTTGGGACCTCATGTTAGTACAAGCAAAAGATCAAGAAACAAATACAACACATTTCTCAGCAGGCAGTTGTGGATTTGCCCAAGAAAGCCGTGCAAAAAGCTGCTTTCTCACCACCTTCAACTCAAAGGTGCACCCGGTGACCTTTTCTTCCTGCCTTGCCATCTCAAATGACAGGAACGATCAGGCTTCAACACTGAAGGTCAGTCCTATCAACCTTGTCTGTTTTCTGCTTGCCGACAAGTTCACACGCACCCTTCCGCTCGCCGAGATCCCACACAGTGCTCTGGTCTGCGAGGATGCGTGGAAAAGGGAATTCAAATGAGCTGAACTCATGCTGAACTTCCTTCCTCAGCGGCTGCTGCAGTGATTTGTTGACTCTCCAAGGCTCATTCAGGACTTTCTTTTTTTCAGCTTTGACAGAGTAGATAAAGTAGACATGGATTTTATGTGCCAACCCTTCTGTATTTTTGGCACTCCACTCATCACATGGCAGGTCAGTGAAATACAAGTTTAAGCAACAGTAGATGCCTCCAGCATGTATCTATGGTGTCTCAAACAAGACATAGACTAAACTAATCTCTACTACTCTTCACCATTAGCAATGATGCTAAGCTAGAAGCAAGGACTGAGGATGCTTTAACAGTCACACAGAATCTTAATAAGATCTACTTACAGTGATATTGTGCATTTCAGGCTGGCTGGCTCAGCTTCCTTAGTCTCAGCCTCACAAAGGAGCTGAATGCACTGGCTTATTTTTGTGGGCTTTTTAATTATTTTAGCATTGTCTCTGATTTTTGTATCAGCCATCTGCGGAGTGTGGCAGGATGTGTGTAATCTTCTACAGCACATGTTGTACTTTCTCTGTTGTAATCTGATGGGAGAGAAAACCAAAGTTAAGGTAGATTAAGGTCAGCGTACTCTCAACATCCAATCGCTGTATAATCCACTGCGTTATCGCCGGGGGAGATTATCAGCATTGATAGGGCCCATTCTTTGAGCCATTCAGCTCTGTCGAGGCCCACTTGCCTCACAGAATGGTATTTCTGTTCAGTCTGTACTGAGAGGAAAGCCATACAACAATTTTCTGCTACATCCCGCTAATGTGGGGTGTGCGGCTGTCTTCGGGAGGGATACAGGAAACTCATTTGCCCTGTACGGCACAGCACAGCACAGCTGCTCTGCTATAAAGAATGCACATACAGCCATGTGGGATAAAGGCATCCGAGCCTGTTCCTGCAGCACCATGGGGACAACGCGGACATGGCATAAGGCCAACAAGCTGTGCTGGGCAAGAGGGTCCCTTCAGGCCAGGGAGGTTATACGGGGCAGGATCAAGCCTCCCAAGGCATGGGACACACACTGCTTCTTTGTGAGGGCCTGCAGGCACGCTTCTGTTGTTGTTAAATGATCCACGGAATTATTCAGGGAGGGCGAGCCACAAAGCTCAGCATGCTTAGGACACGATTGACTCGGTGCCTGCCTCCCAGCAGAGATGTGTCACATTCAAATAAATGCCCTGAAACCAATGCAATTAATGCATTATCCCCACTGCATTATCTCTCTTTATACAGGGATGTAGCTGAGCAGAAGTGCAGCAAGGGCGAGCTACAGAGCAACTCCTGGCATCACCACATTTAACTAGCAGTTAGTGGTATCAGAGCAATTCTGGGGGGCAAACAGGGTGCAGAGGCAGGATTGTGAGTGCTGGGCTCTGATGCAATGGCTTGAAAGCATCTAGAGAGAAAGACAGAGGGAAGAGAACAATAACCACATGCACTGGCAGCAGCAGCAACATCCAAACAAGCTATTAAAATAACAATGTTCTGCCAGTAACCAAAATATCCCAAGTTTGAGGACGATTTCCTTGTCTTTGCAATTAATATGTGAAGGCAGAAGTGTTTTCACATTACTCTAATTCATGTTTCCTTACCCACTCCAAACAAGTCAAAGAATGTTGCTCCTCAAGAAGGTGTCTCTAGCACCACGAAGACTCATCAGTGGTGAGGAGCTTCCTTTGGTTGTGCCACGCTGGAAGCTCCTAGCGGATGTCAAAGGCAGGCAAGATGCAAGAGCTAAATACTGACCCCAAGCAGGCAGTAACATTTCCAGTAACTCTTATTTCTTGCTTTTTATGACTTGAGATTGAAGTCCTTCCTGTGTTCAGGCACTTCTCCATTCCCTCTGCTTGGAATTGCATCTGATTTGGGTAGATGAGGAATTAGAGAGCAAGAGTGGTCTTCTAGAGATGAAGGAGACAATGGATTTAGAATTGAGCAAAGCAGCAACCAGAGCTGATACTTCAGGATTCATGCAAATGATGCAGTTTCAGCAAATCATTAGCAAAGTCTGGCAAAATTCCAGGAAAAAATGTTCACTGGGAGAAAAAAAAAATGAGGCAAATAGTCCAAACATATCAAAACTTTGCATTGTTAAAAAGACAAAATATTTCCTTTCAACATTTTAAAAATGAAACTTGCATTTTTTTCACTTCAAAAAGCCTTGGTGTGTAATTGAGCTTTAAAAACAAGAAAGCATGGATTTTTTTAATGTCCAAAATACTTACAAAATAACCTTTGTTACACATCCTTTTGGTTCAGAATCATTCAGAAATGATCCAGAAATTGCAACCAAGGGTCCTCCTTGCAAAATGAGGATTACAAAGAAGGGATTGATCCACCTGAGGGAGCAGGACAATAATAGGCTCGTAGTCCCCAGAGGACTGGTTTAAACTAGGCTCACTGAAGACCAGAGACCAAATATCCTATATAAATGGAAGACCTGGGAGAGGAGAGGGGTGAAGGGGGAGGTCCTGAGGAAAACCTGAGGCCACGTGAGCTTCTAAGTTACATTGAAATCAACTAAATCCACAACACAACATTCTGCTGAGTTGCTTCCTGAGTAATATATGACTATATAGAAGCTGCATGAGCCTCAGTGTGACGATGGGACAAGTTCCCCCCTTTATGAGACCTTCCTTAGCAGACAGGACATGACCTAGACCCAAATGGGCAGTCTGTTCACTCCAGCGTGGGACACCTTCCTAGTGCCTGAACAATATTCCCGCCAGCGTAAGGTCTTTCTTCTTACATGCTTTTAATTTTTGCTTATAGCTTTAGTCTTGCTGCATCATATATAACTGTACTTTCATGCTTGGGTAGCAGCAGTAATAGATCAGCAAGATTTCTAGCATCTCTATCTCAGGAGAAGAAGTTTTATTAAATCATTAAATAAAATGTGTAGTCTGCCTTTATTTTTTTCTCTAAGAAAAGGTCAGCTTCAGAACTGAGACACAAGTGAGAAAGGAGATGCAGTGACCAGTACTCCAAAGAGGAGGGGAGAAAAAAAAGGAAAGGGAAAGGGAAAGGGAAAGGGAAAGGGAAAAGATCCATTTGAATTAGGCCTTTTCTCACCTCTAATAAGGCTCTGAAAACAGCACTAATCAATCCAAATGACACTTTAGTGTGGAAATCTATTATATTCCTCAATGATCATATGCCTTTATATGTTATAATTTGGTTCTGAATTATGGCCTACATCAATTATAATTGAACACTGCTTCCCATTGTACAATCAGACAGTGATGAGAATAGAAGGGCAGTGGACATTAGAGGATTACTATCAGAATCACCTAATTTAATTAAGGAGGAGATTTATTAAAATGGTAACATTAACAGGTGCTTTATGAGACTAATAATTAATAAGGTTCCTGTAGAACATTTGTAAGAGAAGTAGACAATATGCAGTGCCAGCAGAATCTTCCTGTAATGGGATAACAATAAAGCATTAAGAGCTGTAGATCAGATATTATGATAATAATCAGATTCTGTAAATTATGGCTTGAAGAGGATTAAATACCATTACTGTAAATGAGTATTTATTTAAGCTCCAGCAGGCCCCTGCATGCTGTCTGGAGAAGGGGGGTGGCAAACAGAGTCTGCAGAGTGGACACTTGCTCACGCTTGCTCTCACCCTGAATTTTGCAGTGCTGAGTCAAAATTTTGTACTTGCCAGTAAAATACTAATTCTGAAAGCATCTGTTTAGGAAACTGTAAGGGGAATATGCAGAAGGACAAGTCCAAAATCACTGCTTTATGAGTTACCTTCCAGCAGGTGGAAGCAGGCAGCCCTGAGCTCTCCTTCAGCCAGTGGTGTCCTGGGCCATGGCTGTGCCTGGAATTCCCGGGAGCAGGAGCAAGATGATCTCCGGCTGCTCCCCTCCTGATGTCTGCAAGTCCTGCAGATTCAGTATGAGATGAAAAAAAAGGAAAAGAAGGGGAAAAGGGGTGCAGGAAAATGCAGGGTGATGCATGCTCTCACGGCAGGAGAGCTCACTAAAGCAAGGAGGCCGCTTCGCAGATAGAGAAAACAACCTCCAGGCTCTTTCTGCAAATGAAGGTGCGGAGGATTTTGTCCGAGTTGCTTTGCAATTTGCAGCTCCTGTTACCACCTGGTGTTTTCTTAGCTCCAGGCTTAAAGAAGCTTTATTCCAGCGCTGGTTGTGGCCACCCCCTCCCCAAGCAAGAGCAGCGAGGGAGCTACGGGAACGCTGTGAATGTGCTGCTCTTTCTCCAAACCTGCTCCAAGCCTTGACACAGTGATGGAAGAGGATATTAGCAAAGGGAATTTTTTTTTTCAAGGCTAGTACTTTAATGAGCTCCTAAATAATGACTTTATCTTAGAGGCACACTCAATATTCATTCTGCATCACACCCCAGCAATACCACTGCCCCACTGCAGCCAACAGCAAATGAGCTCGGAGGTGCAGGAAGGAAACTGGTCCCGATGCACAAAGGGATGAGTGGAAGCAGCAGGAAACCTTCCCTGTTGCCCCACAGGCGTCGTGACACAGGGTCGCATGGCTTTAGCTGTCACCCCACAGACACAGGGTGTCCCCAGCCCGCTTGCAAATCTGGCTCTCAATACCTGAGCCCTGGGCTCGCGCTTAATTGACACCTGCTAAGGCTGAGCACCGAGTTTGCAGAGCAGATAAAATAGTCCTTTGGTGTCCGTCGTGGAGATGCCATTTTTGGGGTTACGGTTCAACTTTTGGGGGCTGCTTTGTTTTTGAATGAGGCGGAGACAAGGGGTAAGGCCCTTTGCCCTGTGCCCAGCCCGCAGAGAGGGGCTGTCTCTGGAAGACCTGGAGGAACTCCTGCAGGAAACTACTTCCATTACTGATTCCCCAATCCAGAAGTGGGACCCAGGCCAGTTTTCGTACACCCTGGGTGTTCAGGAGGGCAGACAAGCAGTAAAAGCAGTAACCATCCAGCAGCCTCTGGAGCTCCCATACATTCATCTCCCATCTTTTTAAATTTTTGCCTTTTCCTTTGTTTGTGTGAGCTCATCAGGAATGGGAACCCTTGCCCAAACGCTGGCAATACCCTGCCTGCACAACAGAAAGCCTGAAGGGCAGCAGAGACCAAGCAATGCCTTTTGCAGGGCAGTGCTGCAGGGTCACAGTGCCCAACCAAGTCTGCAGCATGTTTTCCACAGGCAGGACATGGTTTCCAAACCCTGCAAGGGACTTTGACATCTAGCTGGCACAACCCTCCTAAGCTCCCTACTAAATCCCACCTCCAAGTGGAATGCATTTTGGGCCCGCTGATCAGCCAATTTCCCTTCATGGCACAGACATGCTCTTGTCCTTTGCTCTGGACTGCATTTCCCAGGAAGAGTAGACAAGGATTGCACTTGAACAACGCCCAGTTCCCTGCCCTGCACAACTAACTAGTGCCAATGTGCAAGCCAAACACACATACTTACTCTGAAAGGTTGCAGGCTGCGCCCAGCGGTGTCAACAGCAGGAATCCTGTCGACTTCGCAAGCATAGCACAGGGCTGAAAGAAATGCAGATACTACATTTCAAAGGGAAAAAGGTACACAGTATATTCCCTCCCTGCCAGAGAAATTCTCTGGGCTAGCTGGAACAAAATCACTGCAAAAGCCAAGCCTGTTTCCGTGCCCGGTTCTGCTATTTAAATCACGGGATGCCACTGTCAGTCACTGAGTTTTAATATTACCACAGCAGCATTACAGGAGAATGAGTGCTGAATCAATAAAAAATTAAGGAAATAGGGTTTTATTACACAGTGATATTTGGAATTGATCCCTTAGGCTTTCCAGTCGCCTCGGTTTTGCTTTATACATCAGCGGCCGGAGCGTCGCGCAAAGTAGTTAGAATGCAGGAACCAATCAGTCGTAATCTAATTTTAAATGGACCACAAGCAAACAGAGAGAAAATAGAGACAGGCAGAGCATCATGTTGACAGATGTGCCTATGGTAGATTGTCTCTCTGCTCTGCCTAACTAGGAAAAATACTCTCTCGAATTGTTTTTTCTATGTATAATGCCAATAACAAGAACAATAGGGGGGAAACTTGGTTCTTGCAGGGATATGAAGAATAAATTTACAAAAAAAATGCAAAAAAGGGAAAATAATATCATCTGTTCTCAGCTTCACTTGTAAAACACTAAACTAACAGGCAACAAGCATATGAAAAGCATAGAAGAAGCGGCATGGGTGTCTCGCTTGCTAAAGCCAGTGAGCATTTCTCTATGAGGCCAAAATGCAGCTGATCCTCTGACCTTTGAGCAAAGGGGCCAGATTCTTCCCAGAGACATTGTGGTGAGCAGAGAGGTTATGATGATCACCAGGTAGCTGCATACATCACTTGGCCATGGAGTTTTCCACAACTTCACAGCACACTGCAGCCTGCATTAATTCCAACTCCTTTAGTACTCCCCAAGAAGCATCATCTTTACTGTTAGCCCAATACATTCAGTCCCCTGAAGTTTTAGCCCATCCCTGTTCCTCTGGGAGACCAGTTTATTTATGAGTGGGTCCATCTCCATCTTCCTGTCTCCAACACCCCACGGCTCATTCATGCTCTCACTATAACATAGTTAAGGCATCTTCAGACCTCACTCCTTCTTAGTAAGCTGCCTGCTTCGATCCTCGACTGGATTTGTCCCTTTAATGTCCTTATGAAGACATCCCTGGCTGTAATTCCTCCTCGGTACAGCTCTGCCCTGGCTTGAACAGCTGAATTCACCTCCTAAACAGAGATAGTAGAATTAGAGGCTTGTCTATAAATTTAAGACCCAGTTAATGCAGGATATTATTGCAGTGCCTTACAAGGCATCATGCAGAGACCCCTCCAGATCTCCTGAAATATGTCTACCATGAGACCCAGGAGAAAAGGGACATTATCACAGGAGTTCCAACTTTGGGGAACCACTTTATAGACTGGTACTTTATAACATACAAAAAATATATAGCAACTACACTGAGGTGACTCAATGGTCAGTCTCCCTGGATAAAAGGATAGGCAGAAAGACTAAATCACCAGCCTAAATATTCATCATGGCTTCACTGCTAGCAACCATGAGCACATTTCATTCCTCCTGCACAAATACGAGCTTGACCATGAAGGCAGATTGCTGGTGCTCTGAAATACAGATAGCTCTAAACAGGAACTGAAAATGCTTTTGAGCAAAATAAAGAGGGAGTAAAAGGGATCTAGGATGAAGATATCCAACAACCATGAAGGGAGGTTGCTTTAGTTAAAAAGGAAACAAGCTTAGTTAACATGAAAGCTGTAAAAATCATTTAAAAATTCAATCACAAACAGAAAAACAATAGCTCTGATCTA